TCATTTTTTTCTTCTGAATTTACTGTTCATTGAGGAGCATATGAGCTTGCGAGCAGATACTCTGCATCCGTGTACAATGACGATCGGGGATTGAGAATAATCTCTATGGTTCTCTCTCTATCGACTAGTCTAGCTCCGACTTATATGGGTACTTGCGCCTAGGGTTACAAGATCCTAGTTGGTAAGGATTACGAAGGAGTTGTCTTGGACGCCAATTGCCTTGCCACGTACTTCAAGTCTTTCGAGTCCTCATCTGTAATGGGCTTGTAGGCCGGTACAACAGCTCAGGGCACGAACCGACTTAGGGGCCATGGGTCGGCTTCCGGTATGATGAGGCACCCCTGGGCCATTACACCGTTTGTAGCCCCTGGAACAATCTTCAAACTTGGCGGCTTCATAGTTGGCGCCAATCTTGAGGCTGTACCGTTCACAAAGCTCCCCTGGAAGTAAACATGCATAACAAGTTCTCCTAAGAAAATGGGACATGCTTCACAGCTGATCCCTTTCAGGTGTCATGTCCTAGCTTTCCACTATATCCAGCGAAAGACACTTCTTTCAAGTGATAGAAAAGAAAAGCAATGGACAACTACTGTTAGAACAAAGAAAGAAACTCTGGTTTAGTGATCTGCTTGTTGGCAATCTTTTCACCATTATAGAATCTTGAAAACAAGATAAATGCACTTTTTGAAACTTTGATCTTGTATGTTTCCGTGGCAGTCAGCATATTTAAAATGCGACTGTCTGACATGGGGTCATGGGTTGCTATGGAGGGTTCAAAACATGTCAAATTTTGAGTCTTTGTGCAGGATTTTTTTCAGGAACTAATGAATGTAGTAGGAACAAAGGATTCTACCAGAACTTATCATAGTCTAGTAGCCGATACTCACCAAATAGTAATGAGCATATAAGCAGCTCGAGCAAACAAATGACTGTTATGCCCTACCATTTTCATAACAAAATTTAGTAATGGTTGTGTGCAACAGAGTTCACCATAAACAATAATAGAAGACGTTCATAAGTTTTGCCGAGTAATTATTTAAGGGCTGCACTAGCTCATGGACCACACAAAGCTGCACTTGGCACCTGAACATTCCATGAGAAGCACCATAGAGCAACGATACTTCCAGTACAACAGAGTTTATCATAAACCATAATCCAAGACGAGTTCATAATTTTGCCAATTAGCTATTTATTTAAGGTCTGCACTGCCTCCTGGACTCCCCAAAGCGGCACTTGGGACCTGATCAAAGGTAGATTGATACACATGTGTCAATCTAATGAATCATTTCAAAAAGTGTACGAAAGACACTTTTTTAGGTGATACAGTAGTAAAGAAAAGCAATGAACAACTACTGCTAGAAGGGAGAAATAAACTCAGTTTAGTGGTCTGCTTGTTGCCAGTATTTTCACAATGACAAAACCTTAAAAACACACAACTATTTAATATTTTTTTGAAAATTTGGTCTGCCAAGCTTGTGGCAGTTATTTAAAATGCCTCTGTTTTACACGGGTTGCTACAGAGGCTTTAAAACAAGTCAAATTTTGAGTCTAAGTACAGGTTTTATCATGAAGTAGTGAAGGTAGTAGGAGCAAAGGATAAGGATTGGTAGCTAACTAATTGCATCTTCTCTCTGCCAAAACAATATGAGCAATGTATGGTTTCTCATGATTACAGCGGAACTTGATATTTTCACCATATTCTTGTTGGCAATCCTCAGTCAAATAGTATTGGGGATCTAAGTAGCTCGATCACACAAATAACTTCTATGCCCTACACTTTTCATGAAAGAATTTAGTGATGGTTGTGTGCATAATGCAAGCTAAAGAAGACTGACTGAACATAACAGGTTGACGATGGCAAATGAACAGTCTTTTATACCCTAAAAAACCGAAATTGTCTGCCAAGTTCACTACACATAAGAGCAGAAGACATACATGCAAATATAGAAAATAATAAAAACTACTCCTCCGTGCCATAATGTAAGACATTTTTTAACACTACAATAATGTTAAAAAGCGTCTTACATTATGAGACGGAGGGAGTAGATGAGTTCATATAATAATGAAGTAATACACAGTAGCGCTGGAAGAGCTTGGACTATTTTTCTTACTACGTGGAGGAAACAGCCGAGCAATCTCCGCCTTAGTCATATCTGCAAATGGGCCCAGTTGCGACACTTGCGACGATCCAGAATTGTTATCTTTGTACACAGACATTGCAGAAGCCATAAATGACCTGAACCGGTGGGTCATTTCTTTATGGTCACGAGATACCCCACGATACTTGCACCAGCATTTATACAAGGCCCACAGGGATTCCTTGGACTTAATGGAATTCTCATCAACCAGGGGAAAGGTTTTTTCTGGATTGATGTCTGCCACAAAGCCGCTGAGTGCGAGATTTTCTTCTGACTCAGAACCGTCTGCCATTCAGTAGCACTGAGTTAAAATTCGATTGTAAAATAGCATCATTTGTAATAATGCTCTCAACGGAATTGATTTGATTGAAGGCAGAGACATTAAGATATCATGAATCATCATAAACCAGTTTTTTAACCACTTAGTTTTACTAAGAAAAATATGCTTGCCAGATGTCCCAATGAATAGGGCCCAATCTCTGCCAGCTTATTCAAATAGATCTACTGACAAGAAGAAATAATATGGTAATTTTGGGTATTAAATTAAATTCAGATCCAAGTAAGGCGAATTCCTTTTCACATCCAAAGCCCAGGAATTCCTTTAGTATTCAGATACAAATTCTGAAAGAGCTATCATCGAAGAAAGGAGAATTCCTTTGGCATTCGGGATTCAGATCCAATTTCGAAAAGAGCTATCAAAATAACATGGGAATTTTGGCATTCAGGACTTAGATCCAAATTACGAAAGAGCTGTCTCGGATTACCTGCAGCTGCAGACATGCGACGGATGGAACCGCCAGTCAGATAGAGCCGGGGGAGACACGGGGAAATGCTACCAGCAATATCTCCAACGGGGCGTGATGCTAGGGCTGCTCGAACGAGCTTGGACGCGATGAAGGCCATAGCCAGGGTACGTGAGGAGGCAACAGAGCAGAGAACCTCCTCGTCACGGTTAGAAGACCCCGTTCGTTGCGGAGATCGCGGAAAAGTAGACACGGATGGGAACAATTAGGGCGTACCGCTTTGGTCAGAGCTTAACTTTAATAGGAAGGTGATATTTTTTTAGGATATTATAAGGAAGGTGATTGTACATGTCATATGCTTTTTTCTCCGGTGACGTGCATGTCATATATATTTCACAAAATTTCCAATTTATTCATCAACTGTCAGTACAAAGAACACCAGAAGTAAAATTACATCTAGGTCCGTAGACCACCTAGCGACGACTACAATCATTGGAGCGAGCCGAAGCGCGCCGCCGTCATCGCCCCTCCCTTATCGGAGCCGGGCAAACCTTGTTGTAGTAGACGCCGGGAAGACATCATGCTAAGGCCCAATAGGACCAGCGCACCAAAACAGCAATTGACGCCGATAAAGAGAAACATAGATCGAAGGATATAACCTGTAGACACACTGACATAGACGAACAAATATCGGATCCAAGCGGATCCATCTAAGACACACAGACCGAATCCCACGAGATCCGTCGGAGACACACCTCCACATGCCCTCTGAAGATGCTATAAGCACCACCAGGACAGGGGCTAGGCGGGGAGAACCTTATTCCATTTTTAAGAAGTCGCCCCCGCCTCATCTTCCTGAGCATGGCACAAACCCTAACAAAACTAGAAAAAAACACCTAAAAACGGAGCCCTCTCACCGACAAGTGCCGGGATCCGCCGCGCCTCCATGGTCCTAGGACCAAATTTATGATAAGAGTATGTACTCCCCACCTTTTGGATAAGGTTAGATGGGATATCCAATAGTGCCAACCGTAACCATTCATGCAAATTAGTAGTAAGGAATGCTCGGCATGCACACCAGATTGCTAGAAATTAGGAACGTCTAGAATGTTGTTGAACAAACAAATCCGGTGCATATAGTTTTACTTGGCCCATCGGGTGCATGGCCCTTTATTTTTAATTTTTTTGTCTTTTTCTCAGGGATGGATACGAAGTCCAGCATGTTCTGAGTATACACATACCTAATTTTTTTAGTTGGCACATACCCAGATTTTTAGAGTATATGGCATCTTTGTTTTTGTCGGAGTATATACTTCTTAACTTGTTTAAACTAGAATATACCACATTAGGCTAAGAGGATATATGCAACATTTTTTGATAGAGTATATACTGCTTTTTGCACACATGGTGTATATGCTACTTGCCTGCGAACGAGTATATAAGACTTCTCATGATGTACTATATACCACTTTTTTATAGATTATATACTTGTTGGGAAACAGTGGAGTATATACTTGTTGGGAAACAGTGGAGTATATACTTTTTGTGGAGTAAATAGCACTTTTTTGTGATGGAGTATATGTTACCTTTTTGTGTTGGAGTATATACTGACAACAAATGACATATAATTCGTTAACAATGAGGATTAAAGATAAAAAGAGTATGGTGCGTTTAGAAAATAAGTGTATAATAAAACAAAGTATAATTTATTCAAAGTAGATTACAAGACAGACTAGCACAATTAATTAAGAAGAATACACCATCAGGGAATAAATGGTTTCTTTACAATGATATTTGTCCACGCAAATAACAAGACTAAAGTTGTGTGAGCATATCACGCTTTATGCGTGCTTATTACATATGATGGGTAAATCATGTCGCGTCAATTTAGATAGTCATCATGTAGATCGTGTCGTCGGAGTCCATTGAATCAGGGAGGTCTGGCCGCTGCCAGAGAAAACGTGAGTACATCCATATGCATGGAGCAGAAGCGCCGCCGGCTGGCGTAACCCATCTCACGAGCAATCGATCAAAATGAGCTGTACATCATACATGCATGATATGCAAATTAATAATTAGTATATAAGTAATAGGGAGTGCAGGTAATCTCATTATGGATGCATGCAAATGAATTAGCCGAAGGTCATATGTACCTTGCCGTGATCGATGTCGATTGGAAGAAGATACAAGGGAGCCGCTTCATCTTTCGCCACGTTATAGAGTTCAATGGTACAACCAGCAACACCTCGTCTCATTGCCGTCGCCGTTGTGGCCACCACCGTCGCCGCCGCCGCCGTCGTCTTTTATTTAGTTACACGAGGACGTCATAATAGGCTTCCATCCTACAACATATATCAGATAACAAGAGAGCTAGCTTTATTCACATATACGTACGAGCTGGCTTCATGGACATGTATCTGATTACATATGCAAGGATCAAGATCACTGGTAAGCACCATACCTTGGCTGAGTTTCGGCCGATTCTGACGAGTGGAATGGCTGGTGGAGAGCGCTCGACACCGAGACCTGCTGGGCAGAAACTGGGGCGACGTCGTCTTCATGGATGCAGCATGGCTAGCAGGAGAGGCATGGCCGCCGTCGGTGACGTAGTTACAAGAAATAGATCGATGATCGCAAGAGAGACGCAGGCGCCGTCACGGCTGGCGTGCAGCAAAAGGAATGGATCTATCCAGATTTGCTTTTTTCACGGGAAGTGGGGCGACGTACGTTTTATATCCCTAGGAAAAAGGATTCGGCTCCAACTAATTGCAACTACCAGATAATTATCTAAATTAGTTTTATTGGGAGAGCTAGCTAAACGGGTGTAGCGCGATAGGGAATGGGTACGAGACTGTGGGTCGACTAGTAGGTGGATCGATCTCGGAGTATGTACTCCTAGGAGTACT